GCGTTTAGTCAGTATTTCGTTCGGCGAAGTTTTAATGTATCGCTAAAATTGACGATTCTAAATATGTTATTAGAATGTTTCTTTTAAGTTTGTTATTGAATAGGAAACGTCGTTTATTTTTCTTTATTTTCTCTCCCACACATAACTTTTGATTGTATCATTATATCTTATTATTCTTTACATTGATGATTGGTTCAGTCTTAATTAAAAACGACGTAAAAATCGTTTTATATCACATCATGGAACTTATATAATAATTTGTGCAAAAATTAACTAAAATGTAATCAAACGCAGTGAATAAATAGTTCACATGCTTAAAAAATATCAAAAATTAATATACAAATTTCACTAATTCAAAAAAAGAAGAAAAAAAGAAAGAAGAGTGCTGAAACAGCGATAACTTCAACCTGGTAGCTTTCTCTCAATCAAAACGTGAAGCTCTTGTGAACGTCTCTCGGTGGGAGACCTTGTTCGGAGAAGAACCGGCAAGAAACTCGGCAAGGGTTATTTTTACTTCCTGTTTTAATTTAAACAGTGGCGTTAATTGAAAGTTGACAACTAAACTTGAAACACTTGAACTTGAAATGTACTGATGCCAAGTTCCATCACATTCTTAGTTAATTAGATAAATAAACAGTTTAGAATTCAAAAGGATCAAATAAACAAATTTCAACCAAAAGAGGAAAGAAAATCTAGTATTATAAAATGAAGCACAAGGTGCTGTGTCATTTATGTAATCTTTTTACAGTAGCTACTATAATAGCTCTTCTTAAGGACGCAACTTTTGATATAATTTTTTAAGTTATTGTAAGGTAAATTAATGATTTATTTTAGTATTTTATATAGTAACATGTACCTTGATCCACAAATGAAACAAGAACCTTTTGGAGTCTAATACCTACTGGCAATTTCAGTTTATTTTTACGTCTAATACGTGTTGAATCGCACGTCATTACGTATACCAGGCCACTCAGAAAGATTTGCGATAAAAGTTTTTATGTATAAGACACTGAATCCACTGTTCGATTTTCAAATTTCCCTCCACATTTTTTCGAGAGCCCATTAAAATTTTCTTATCTCATTAAAAATGGATCTGCATCGAGAACATTTTCGTGCTATGATATTTAAGATTTTAAATGTGGCTGAAAACCTGATGAGTCATTTGATCGATTTCTAACTGTTTTTATGGATGAAGGACCTTCAAAAGCAACCATCTACTGCTGGTGTAGCGAGTTCAGACGCGGTCGTCTTACTTTGGGGGACCAACAAAGGAGTGGTCGTCCTACGAAGGCTGTCACCGAAGAAAGTGTGCTGGCAGCAAAAAAAATAATTCAAGAAAACAGACGAATTGAATACGAAGAGATTCAGCATACTCTGCAGAGTGGTTCAGGAAGTGTTCACAAGATTTTGCACGAGCACCTTTGCGTAAGGAGGATAGTTTCCCGCTGGGTGCCGCACAACCTCACCGAAGCTCAGAAGCAGGCCTGTGGATTGGTGCAGTGATACGATACAAAAATTTGATGCTGGCTCGTCATGGCGTGTTTACGATATTGTGACAGGTGCTGAATCCTGGATTTATCAGATATATCTATATAGATATACGATCAAGAAACAAAGCGTCAGTCGATAGTTAGGCTGTTTCAAAATGAACCAACGCCTACGAAAGTGAAGCGATTGAGGAGCGCAGGGAAAATTTTGATCTCTAGTTTCTTCACTGACGGGGTAGCTAATTTCAATTCCACTTCGAGACCAAAGCAGCATCAACGTCGAATGGTATAGCACAAAATGCCTGCCTGAAGTTTTTCCTGCAATGAGCAACAAGCGACCTTACACTGGGCTCCGCGGGGTCCTTCTTCACCACGACAACGCGCCCGCGCACTCTGCGATCAAAACGAAGGACTTCCTGGACTCCACACCAGTCAGAATCTTGGAACACCTTACAGTCCTGATTTTTCTCCGCGTCACTTCTTTTTATTCCCTAAAATAAAAATCAGCTCAAAAGGATACAGTTTTCATCGCCGGAAGAAGTGCTAGCAGCGTTTGAGAAGGCCGTAGAAGAGATGTCTGCGGAGGACTAGATTTTTTTTTGAAAATTGGTTCAGACGCATGAAGCTAGGCTGGTGGAGAGTTCTTTAAAAAGATTTAATAAAACTATTTTTTTCATAGAAGTTCGTTTTTTAGTTTCTCAAAACTTTCTGGGTGCCCCACGTATAAATAAATATTCTGATATATAAACAATATATAATTGTTAATGTATTGTGAGGCAACAGTCAGAATACCTATTTCTTTTAATTTATCTCTACGAGAAGTTCGGGATCCCAAGCGTTAATTTTGCTAGCTATATTCTGAACTCCATTTATTCTTCATTTGGGATGGATTCTTTTTATTGCTCTTGTATGAAAGTTTACCTACTCGTGTTTATCATACAAACTTCATCTGGTGATTGGTCGCAAGCAAGATACTCTTCAATACTGGTCTGAGATTGAAAGACAAAACATAGATTGCACGAACTGCCAGTTTTCTCTCACAGTTATTACAAAAGTCTATCAATGGTCAGAATACATACTTCGCGTATCTATTGTAATTTTAATTTATATAAATTCCATTACATAATGTGATAGCTTTGTTACCTGCGATTTCTTTTATTTTTCACGTAACATCTTAGACGACACCAACGCCAAATGTGGCGTCATTTTTAGGTGTGACCATAAGAGTATTAATCATACTTAAATCTGTATACTACCTATAATGTAAGTATTTCTATCTATCTTTTTGTTTTTCCTGAAACTATGCATGTATGTATATAACACCATGTATCGATTACGTGTATAAACATGAAAATATCATTGTAATTGTAACCAGGCAACATAAAAACGGCATACCAGTTATGTACCACGTTTAACAAAAGCAATTAATTAAATTGAAATGTTATTGTAACCGTAGTGGTTTTATCCATTAACCTGGTCGTTGATGACTGCTACATAATAATAAAACAGACAAAGCGACTATAAGTAGAAATTCTAGTAAATGACTGGTAGCACTGTAGTACAGTACCGAGAAACAGCAGGGTTAGCCTATTATCATAATCCTTGGACTTTCTAACAGCGTCATAGCAATTTGTCCATCCGTGGATTTGCAGATTGGCCCTATTGTTTCTTATAATTATAGTACCTGCTTTCAAAGAACTTGCGAATTTCCTAAAATATTTTCATTTGTGTTTGCTATCTATAAACATAATGTTACAGCTACAGTGTTCACGTGATGCACTAATCATAGAATGAATATTAACATAACGAGTCTCTTTAAACAGAACACTTTGTATTGTTTTAGTACATTTTACAGCGATGTGCGAGCATGATTCATAAGAGGTTTTCTCGGGATTATAATGAGCGGTATTTTTACGGTCGTACTCTGAAAGCATTGTGTTCGGAGTATCTCTTTGGTTACTTACTGAGTTTTTTTCTTATTACAGTGGCACAAAACCAAAAAGGATTTCTGCTTACATCTTTTGTTTTTTCTTGTCGTGTTCTTATAACTTAGAGCATTTAAGGAATGAAAACTGAAGCGAGGTGTATAATTTAATCAATATTTACGTAATTTTTAATTACATTTATTCACGCTATATATTCATTGGAGCAACTGTTATTTATTAAATCATCATGAACTTTCAAAAAGTCGCAATGTTCCATATAAACTCATGTATTTTTCATAATAGCTATATGTGTGCCAAATTTCAGCGCAATCATTTTAGTGGTTTGAGCTGTGCGTTGATAGATTAATCAGTCCCAGTCAGTAACGATTGCCTTTTATATATACGAGAAGATTATGAAGTTTTAGAAACTGGTAATGCAGCTAACCTGGAATAATTCCTTCTAGGGAAATTTATTACTGAACATTTTGTTAATTTCTGAATAATATATTATTCTGGGTACATAAGTTTAATGACCTAATAGTAGCATCTATTTAAGTCGACATGACATACTTGTGCATCCGAATATGAAAACATTTTAGTTTCTGCAAATGTCGTATTCAGGACGTGATTTTATTATCAATGTCGAATTGTCGATTCGGGTGATTCAGCGGCTGGCTAATCGTAATGCATCCGATTTCAAGATCACGTATGCGCGATCCAATACTTCATTGTTACCAGTCTAGCTACCGAACCTTTAATGCGTTAATAAAATAAGTAATTTTTAGAGTTAACGATGCGAAATGAAACACTTCTTTATTCACAGGGGCTTTGCTAGCGAAGTATTATAAATTTATTCAAATGATAGATTTTAATGCCCGTAGTAAAAGGCAGGTAGGTAGTAAAGGCTTAGCTGATATATTGCTTTAATTCATTGTTAGTCCTACATCAGGAGAGCTTATACAAAGACAAATCTTGACCTAAACGGTTCTTAGGCACATTAAGTTCGTTACCACAGTCAATACCAAGTCTTGCCTATGATTGGGCTAAGATTAATAGAAACATATTTTTTATCTACACAAAAACAGACACTTAAGATAATAAGGATAATCCTTCTCTCCAATTTTTAGGATTATATTCGATAAATTTCATTTGAGAATTCAGCGAAATAAATATCAAAAGTGATTCTTGGAAAGGAATCTATTCTAGTTTGAATTTTGAAATGAAATTGAAAAAAAAATTCTGCGAATATCTTTGTTTGAGACTACAATTCTCGCATAAAGTCCTTGAAGGGGTGATAAAGCGTCTGAGATACGATATAACATCATAAGACAAAGGTATGACTGGTTGCTCGAAAACAAAAGTGAATTGGTTGGAAGCCTGCAATAAAGTTTCCGGAATATCTCTAAACAAACTTTACTATTTGAGATTGAAAGTTAGGCAGCTAGAAGGTTCAGTTGTTCTTACGCCTTAATCAAGCTTAGGAGATTAAACATTCATAGGTATACTTACTGAACTAATAATATTAAAGTCTGGATTGACGGGTGCGCAATGTGAAACAAATTCATGAAAAAGCTGGTTTTCTTTACAGATAATGTGGTCGTCAGCGCTGTTGTTGCTGACTGTGGCCACTTACACCGCGGCAACGGAGTACTGTTCAGTGGACACACTTGGCACCAATTCGTCATGGATGCAGTTCACCAAGGAGCCGGTACCGCTAGAGTACGGCTTCGAAGACAAGTTTAAGAGCATCCACTGTTGCGTCAAAGGCTACAGAAGCATACAATGGTAAGTCATTTATGTATCAAAATACTTGCTATTTTGATACATAATGGCGGGGCCGAGGGCCTTTTTCAGAGGGTGGGGGCTGCGAGGAAGAAAACCTCTATATATTTTTTTATAATATTACCTTAGGATGAGCAAGGAACTCATTTAGCTTGAATTAAAAAAATATATTAAAATAATATATTGGATTTGAGCTGAGAATACTAGCTTGTGATAAGAGGAAATGGGAAGAGATGTCATAGGATGAATACGGAACAACCCGTATTTGGATGCGTTTTTGATGTTGACGTTTAAGCGTCAGTGTTAGAAAAGCAGAATAGGTAAATAAGTAGAAGTCGATTCTTCCTCTCGTCATAGATTGCCTCTTAAACCTAAGGAAAACATCAACATAGATAGAGGTTTTTCCTTCTAACGTTAATGACATTGACATTCTTAGAAATTAGTAATGTCTATTGAGGATTCAATTTTCCGGAAAGAAATGAGTAAAATGTATTTTAATGCAACAACGAATGAGCTGAGCTGATGAGTAAATGTTAAACAAGTTTTATAAACACTAAGAATAACAATTTCGATGATTATGAATGCAGAAATAAGTAAAGGCCACATATACAAAGTGGTTACAAATGTTACAATGAACATTAATAACATTAAGAACATGACCGATCCAACGAATACAAAATAAGAAAAAACCCCTTTAAACAAGATTAGTATTTCGAAGTAAACAAATAAACACCAAAAATATACTGTGCGCGTGCAGATATATATTTTCATTTTTGTTTCATGACTTTAATACGTTCTAGTTCTGATGACCTCGATGATTGAATTAAAAAATTGAAATAAAGGTTTATAAATGAATAAAAAACAAGGGGTATTGGAGACTGTCACACTATTTTGTTATTACAATTTCCAAAACTTTAAGTACAGGGATTTTCAATAGGAACGAGGTATCTTTCACATCCCATGGCGGACATACTGGATTGTCTATTGGCGCTTTTTTTATTAGCTAAGTTATCAAAAGTTCGGCATTTATTAGACCAGCGGCTGTACAGTTGAGAAACGCGTTGAAATCATTATCTTAAAAAGTATTATCAAAAGGGTAGCTCAATTTATCAAACTTTTGTGCGTTGCGGAAAACTTATGGTACCTTATGGTTAACGTAGCCGTAATATGGCGGACAGTCTTCGTCAAAAAAAAAATATACCACTCAATTGGGCTTTCAAATCCTCAAGAGGTTCATTTTAAAAGAATAGTAATGCGTATTTTGGGCTGTTTAATTGGTCCTTATTTTTTGAGAACTCGAGGTCGCTGCTTTGGGATTTTCTTTGTCCGCAATTAGAAGTAATGGATCTGAGAGAGAGAAACAGTAAATTTTTTGAAATAGAATCAAGTTCCTGATCGATAGGTTCAAGGGATAAGATATGGCCTTCCAGATCATGTGATTTAATGCCCCCTTTATTATTTTTGTGGGGTTATGTAAAATCACTGGTGTATGCGAACAATCCAGGAACTGTCGAAGATCTAAAAATTAAAATAACACGCGTCAACGTCATCAACGAGAAAGAAGTGGTATAGTGGCAACTATGTCAAAATGTGATGTTAAATTGAACCTTTCGTTTTCACGTTACCATACGAAGCCGAGCTGGTTATTTAAACGATATCGTATTCCACACAGAATGCCAAAGATTAAGCTTAAAAAAATATACTTATTTTTAAACAATCAATTTCATTTATCGAATTCAAATATACCCGGTTCTTATTGAAAACCCCTTTAGTTTACCTATCTGTCGTAAATGGTGATACTGATCAGTATTTCAATCACGGAAAGCGTGCGAGGTAAGGGTTGAAAAACACGATGAGCAATAAACATGTGTGTTGATGTACGAAGACAATGAAATGTCCGAGAAGTTGCGCCTAATGTATCTAAATACCTATATCTGCCTAGGTTCGTGTCAGCGAAAATATTCGCCGATCATAATGCACGTGTCGTGGTTATGGTGTCCGATTCTACTGTTCTGGCATGTTGCAATCTGGCGACAAATTTGTTGCTACAATCTGTCAGAGTAAGTCGTGATTGATCGTCCTGCTGCAGCATGTTAAAAAGTTTGTTTTCAATAAACTAGAAAACTTCTCTCCAAGAGAGATATTTTCAACCACCTATGTATCTGTCTGTACGCTCGCTTTCATGCTTCTGCATTTTTTCTTCCTATCTGTATAATGATTTAAAGATTTTCTCGACAACTTATTTATTCGAACAAGAACTTTCTTCTGTACTAATAAATAAAACAATTCAGGAATCTATTGAAAGTTAGTGACATAAGTCAGCTGACGACCTCCGTGGCCGAGTGGTTTGTACGCCGGGTTTCATGGCGTCGCCGATTCGAGAGGTCCCGGGTTCGAATCCCGGTGGGGGCAGATGTTTGTGTGATGAACACGAGCATTTGTACTCCAGTCATGGATGTTTAATATGTATTTCTATATAAATATACTTATATATGTAAAGTATATGTATTCTATCCGTTACCCTGGTATCCCATAACACAAGCCTTATAGTGCTTACTTTGGGGCTAGGCTAATTGGTGTGAGTGTTGGAAATATTTATTTATATTTATTTAGCTTTGGGCAAAAATATGATCCCGAAAATTCTAGAATTTGAACAAAAGATGCTAACTCATAAAACTCATTGACGCAAGCTAAGACGCTAAACATAATATAACAAACAGCTTAATACTAAATAATATTAAATCAAAGTGTTCTCTAAGTAAAATAGATTGGAAACAACTGGTATACATTGACCGGTCTCCTAGTAGCCGAAATCGAGGGAAAAATCATATATGTATTTTAGAGCTGTGTTGTTTTTAAAGTTTTAGAGATAACAGATTTTTAAAGTGAAACTTTTATCGACCGCTTTAGTTCTATCAAAGAGCTATTGTGTATTTACAAACGCAAGGTGGTGTGCGTAATATATGTTTTATTAATTTCGTATATTTTTCATGCATTATTTATTATATAAAAGAAAAATTTGCTTTCTTTAATCATTCTCTATAAACTTCAACTATGCAAAACCTCACACGTCCTTTTACAATACGAAAGTTTATTTCTTTACGCAATAACAAAGAATAAATCGAGTTTTTATAAATATTTCTTATAAACATCAATTTTACATCTACTGATGTGAATTATAACATTGCGAGCGTACTTAGAAACGCCGTAACAATATCACTGTTTCGCGTCTATTAAAACAGAACTTATTCCAAGAATGATGTTAAAGCTCTTAGGTTGTGATCTCTTTGTAGACTTGACATTTTAACATTGCTATTGCAAAAATAGGTATTCCACCAAAGTAAGTTTATAGACATGTTAAAAATTAAGCTAATGTATTTCATATTATTTAAAAAAAAAACATTTTATATGTAATATCTAATATGTGTTTAATGATTATTAGTAAGTGAGTATTTTCACAAAATTCTTCACAAATTCAGTAAATTATTGTTGCCTATTTTAAATCCCACACTGTATTTTAAACTAGGTACTTCAAAATTTATACGAGAGTAAATTATGGTAATTAATTTATCAAAATTTTAAAATATGATCTGCCCTTAACCGAATAATTACAAATATCAAATTATTAAAAAATTTAAAGAGTTTAAGTACATTTTTTAATTGTAGGGTTCATTCTAAAATGTATCTCAGGGCCCGTAAAAGGTAAACAGTTGAAATTTTTACAGATAATGTATGTATTTCTATTGCAGCAATAAAAAAATAAATATGAAAATAAAAGAATTTGTGCATCTGCCACGAGTGCAGATATTTCACCTTCGCTTAAAAATGTTAAACCTTATCTAAGGTATCCACTATAACCTTTTATGTGCGAGTACGACTCGGATTTTTTACGTATATTAAGCTAGCAGACCATGGTCGCAACGCGCACATCTAACCTACTGGGTATTTAGTTACTAATTAGTTACACTATTCCCGATTTAGTTGCTCAACACCTGTAAAAGATACATGCGATCTGCTAGCTTAAGTCTTAACCTAGCAGACCACAATACTGTATCTTCGGTTCTCGTAAAGATATCGAAGTTCTGCAAACGGCATATTTAGTTGCTAATTAGTTACACTATTCCCGATTTAGTTGCTCAACACCTGTAAAAGATACATGCGATCTGCTAGCTTAAGTCTTAACCTAGCAGACCACAATACTATATCTTCGGTTCTCGTAAAGATATCGAAGTTCTGCAAACGGCATATTTAGTTGCTAATTAGTTGCTGTAGGACAGCATTATTTGTTTTATCCCCCCATCATCCGGCAATCATGCGGCAATTAAGCCGCACCAGCACCCACACTACCCCCGAAATACGATAAAATTAAAAAGAGCTCATCAGAGAATATAAACTACGGCGTATTTCGTTGCTAATTAGTTGCTGCAAAATAGCGTTGCTTATAGTATTTAACTATCAACCCTTAACTCCAAATCAGCACTGCAACCACCCCTGAATAGGACGATATCGGAAAATTCTCGTAGGTGGAAAAAGACGCGGCATATTTAGTTGCTAATTAGTTGTTTGCCAAAAACGCAGTTAAGAGTACTCTACAATCATCCCCTAACCTCAGATGCAACCCCTCTACTCACTTAGAAACAGTAGATGGTTAAAATTCGCACGCAGATGTTTAAGACTCCTGGATGTTTTGTTGTCAATTAGTTGCTGAAAAATAGCGTTGCTTATAATATTTCATTATCAACCCTTAACTCCAGATCATCCCTGCAACCACCCCAGAATAGGACGATATCGGAAAATTCTTGTAGGTGGAAAAAATAGACGCAGCATATTTAGTTGCTAATTAGTTGCTCGCCAAAACCGCAATTAAGAGTATTCTACAAACATCCCCTAACCTCAGCTGCAACCCCTCTACTCACTAAAAAATAGTAGATGGTTCGAATTCACACGCAGATGTTTAAAACTGCTGGATATTTTGTTGCTAATTAGTTGCTGCAAAATAGCGT